GTATGAGTTTAGTCCTGACAGGATTAATGCGTTGTTTGGACTTCCGGCTGTGAGATAGAGCGCACAGAACAACGGCATATGGCTGAAGTGATTACCTCAGACATAGCTCTCTTTGTGTCTGGAGGTAAAGCCAAGGTCTTCAAGCAGTTCCAATTGTCTAAGGTTGAGGACAACAACACTAAAGATCTTCTCAAGATCTATTGTACCAACTGGCTGCCTACTACTAATGATGGGTATGTCACTCCTGACAGAGCCAAATTGGTCTACAAGGTGATGCATCAGAAGCCGTTTGATTTTGGGAGGATGGTCTTTAAGCTGATCATCAACATGAGTCTGACCCCTGTCTCAAAGTGGTGTCTGCCGTTTCCCAGTTTGATTTATCAGCTGATCCAGTCACAACACCCTGTGCATCCGGATGTATCTCAGCCAGTGCCAAAGTCCAACAAGAAGGGCAAAGCGAAGAGAGGACAGACGGCTGAGGTTCCAGTGTGCTTTTCAGATGATCGCAAGGCTTTGCGTCGTGCAATTCAGATCATGCAGCGTATCATCGATGCAGGTAAGTGTTTCTTCTTTCAATCTGTCATTCATGTGATCCATAAGTTACTTGTTTTTGACTTAGTTGTGCAAACAAGCAGGGGGAGATGATTCTGATTCTGATGATCATAGGACTGGTTGATTTGTGGGGGAGCATTTGTCCTGGGGGAGCAGTTGCTGTTGTTGCTGTTTGTTTTTGGTTGTTAGCAACAATGTATTTTTATTACAGAATCTTGTTTCGTTAGCTTTTAGCTTTTGGGTCTGTAATATGTTTAAACATGGCTTTTTAGGATTTTTTATTTTGGGATTTGTGCTAGTTATATTGCTAGATGTTTTCCTTGTTGCTGTGTTTTGGTTTTGTCTCTCTGTGACTTTCAGGTTTATCACAAAGGATGCTTGATTATCAAACTAAGTCAAAAAGGGGGAGATTGAAGATGCAGTTCCAGAACAGCTTGCTGTGGAGATCAGGAAGCTGCATCCGTTCAGACGCCTGAGATCACATCAGACGCCTGGGATCACATCAGACACTTGAAGTTGCTGACATGGAGTCGTGAGATGACGTGGCAAAGCTTAAGTGGATGGAGTGACGTGCTAAGGAAGATTTCTTGCTTGGCAGCAAAGATAGAGACGAATTGCGTGTGAAGATATGGTGAATATTCTTCACATCAAATAAGGAAAGGATAAGCTTGACAAGCAAGTATATTCCGTTTCCGTGAGATTCTCGAAGATCCTATGGTTAGGGTTTCGAGTAGTGAGTATAAATAGTCTAGGGTTTGGCCACGAGCCACTTTTGAACACTTTAGACTCTTTGTACGTGATTGTAAACTTCGAAGCTAGCAAAACAAAAAGCTGAGAAGGTGAGTGTTTGTTTTCTCTTGGGACTACACGGGTGTAGGAGAGATAGGTTTAGTGCTCGTTCTTTAGTCGGGTTCAATTCTATTGGTAGGAATAGATTGAGTAAGAGCCGAGACAAAATTGTATCATAGGAAAAGATAAATTTTGTTAATAAAGATCGAAGGAAAAAGCGTTTGTTTGGCGCGTTTCAAGCTTAAATGTCTGTGTGTTTCTCTATATATTTTCATTTTCTTCTATTTTTCTGTTCTTTGTTTTTAATTTGTGGGAGATCTTGTCTCCCTTTTTCCCACCAAAAAAAAATTACAAGTATAGTTAACATTTATTAGTGAATGGTAAGGTTATTAGGATTTGAAATTCAGTTAAATGAACAAAGTCTTCGAACATAGATTATTAAAACAAAAAAAAAACAAAGACTAAACAAATTTTTATAGAATAAACTCACGTTCAAAAACATTTCTCTAAACACCTCTTTGATCACTATATATAGAAAGAGACATTGGCTTTAATTAACTTTTGATCACTCGAGTGATCTCGAGCATGCATCTTCTTTTTAATGCATCTATAGATTTCGTAAATGTGATATAGATGTAGCTACAATGAATGCATGTACGTAACTCGATTCTTTTTATTCTACGTACGTCCCGATCCAATGGAAATGTACCAATCAAAGAAAAACTCACATATACATACACATAGATTAAGTTATGATCTTTATAAGTTTATAATTTATAGTGTGATTTATCATTTATGTAAACTCGGAATCAATTGAGTGAATTTACTTGGTTAAAACGGAACACTCTCTTATAAAAAGAGGCCTCACTGTAATTGTTACTGGATGAGAAATTACATAATAATCTCCATCTTCTTCGTTTGTTAGATCATGAGTTCTCATCAGTTATTATGGTGTCTGAGAATCTTTCTCTATATTGAATATTGAATCTACTTTGCACAGTTTTTCTACTTGAATCTTTGAATTCTCTTCCATATAAATCATCCATTCATCCAATTTTATCTTCTGTCTTCTATCGTTTTTTCCAACATACAAGTGGTTAGATTAAGTTTTTGCGATGGTTTCTTTACAAAAGTTCGGTTGGGAGTCTGCGACACTAGATCGAGTTCATTCTTCATATTTTCTAATCAATTTTGATAAATCTTCGAAGGTACGATTTTTTCCCTAATTGCTTTAAATCAATTTTGATCTTCTTTTTTTTTTGTGACATGACATAAAACTACATGTGAATTTACAGCATTTAAGAAGTGCAAGAATTGACATGCTCGACAGTATTCTGCCAAGCAAGAGGACATTGTGGCCAACCTTTAGTATTTGAAAAAAGAATATAAAGTCTAATCTCAATCCAATTTATGATAAGAAATCAATATACTATATAAATTACCCAAGGCGTTTATGTTTCTTGTTGTTTTGACTCCATCCATGTGTTAAATACATTGAGAAACATTCTTTCCAGACCATCAAATAATTCTATTTAATTGAACAATATATTCACCTTCTTAATTCGTAATATGACTAGTCAAAAATTTAGAATAGAGACACAAACCAAAATCCATGTTCAGTTTTGAACAGCTTAAGTTAACAAGTAGTCAGACAAATACAATGTTAACTTTGTATCATGTCTAATATATATTCACCACGGGTTTTTTTATTAATCATAGAGCTTTCTCTTCCACAACATTTTCAAAGAATTTTAAAAGATAAATCCTTTTATTTCAGAATTTTCAAAGAAATAAAGTAATTTCAAAAGTTGATGAATATTTTTTTTGTTTAAAAGTGTGACTTGTTTATTGAAAAAGTGAAGGATGGACGAAAAATGCTCAAGCTGTTCATGTCAAACGTTTACAATGATGTTGTATATTGAGTTGATCAATAACAAAAAGAGGTGAAAATGTCGAAAACTCATATACTTTATGATCAATATCATGATATATTTATATACGATCTCTCAGATAAAAAAAAAATATTGGAAAATGTTAATTCTGATATGAAGTTACTCACTCATCCATAAATTTGGGTTTCTCATTACATTTTGACTTTTTATGACGTCAGTTGGCCAACTACTACAATCTCACACTATAATGTTTAATTCCTAAACAACCAAATCATAACTTGTAAGAATCCATACACGTTTTATTTAGTTATTTAAGTAATCAAATTACTCATTTCATACTTATTTTTATAGACTTATACTAACAAAATACTCTGTTTATATACTTAAAGTTGACCATACGTGTGAGATATAGCTATGCATGTATCCATGCAGATCCGAGTTGAAAATAAACCATAAACCGTTGAAACCTAACAAGACCAACTCAAAATGGTTTAATCAAAAGCATCGAGAACGTTTCTTTAAAAATCGTTTGTTTCATTTTCTTAAATTCAAAAAGTTCTGTAACCAAAACTGAACTGAAACCAATTTTTTGGTGTAATCAAACCAAACCGAATCGAAAAAAAAAAATGCACATTGAAAGCTTATATATGTTCTTTCTATATTAAAAATCATAATCATATTATATAACTCAAACTAGTATAAAAAATACCTATAGCCACTTACACAACCGCGAATATTCGTGGTTATAAAGCGATTTAGTCAAAAAGACGACGAATTATTTAACTTACGATGCTATAGCCACAAATATTCAAGTGGTTATAGAGATACTAGTATTAAACTGACTCAAAATTACATTTATTTTAAACTAAACCGAATTACGAATGGTTTAGATGACTACAAATATTATTATCAAACCGAACCGAATCATAAACCAAACTGTTCATCTCTAAAAGAGTCTAACCTAAAGTAGATATCTCATATGCCATCTTTTCCCAACCGTGATGTTTCTCTAGAAACTTCATTATTCCAGAACAATCACAACTTAAATGTAAACATCAAAAGATTTATTGGTTAAGAAATTAACCACCTAATATTATATGTACAAGCTTGCTGCAATGAACATAATAACCATAATTTAAAAAGAATCCATGCATCATCACTATATATTTGCGACATTAATACATTCTGTTCAAACTAAGTAACCCAAGAAAGAGTGAAGCTAACACAAAATTACATACAATGATGATCTTAAGACTGGCTCTAGCTGCCATCATCTCCGCCTACGCAACCGCGCAACCAACACAAACGTCGTCGTCCCTTGTAACTTATATATTCGGCGACTCGTTAACCGAAGTTGGTAACAACAATTATTTGCAATATTCACTAGCAAGAGCGGACTTCCCTTACTATGGGGTTGATTTCTCCGGTGGTAAAGCCACCGGAAGATTCACCAATGGTCGGACCATCGGCGATATCATATGTACATTATCTATCTCTCTCTTTCTCCTATTACCTATATGCTTCTAATAAATATGTGTACATATCTTTGTGACACACACACATATATATATATATATTCTAATATTTTCCCAAATCTTGTTAGTTTCAATTCGGGTCATATAGATGTGGTCGGGTTAACAGTTTAGTTTCAAATTTAATGAAATCACGGTACAGTAATTGCGATTAGTCGATTTTAAACACGATTAGTAAGTTTAACTGAATTTGGTGAATTATAATGGATTATATAGTTTAGGTGGAATTGAGAAAATTATATTTAGTATAGGGTGAATTGGGTAGAGGACGAAAGTGTAGGATGAATCGAGTTGAACGGTTATTGTAGAGGGGGTCTGCTACAGGCAGCCCATACATATATATATACAAATAACTTTAAAAGTAAGGGTTTATTTTGGTTTTGTTTGTTCTAATATAAATGATTGTTATAGTTTGGTATATATAACCCACTCCTATGCATTATAGTTTTGGTTTTTAATATTTTAACGTTATAGAGAGATGCCCTAATTAAAATTTCACAAACCATTTATGTGATTGTTATAGCTAAAAAGCTTGGGATTGCATCGCCACCACCATATCTATCGTTATCAAGAAACGATGATGCTTATCTCAGTGGTATCAATTACGCATCTGGAGGAGCTGGAATTCTCAATGAAACTGGCATTTACTTTGTACGTATTATAATCTTCTTTTATTCTATTTATTCTTCTAAGAATTTTAGATATATTTTTATAAGTATTTTAGTATTAAAAGATATATATTTTGATCGAGCAGATTCAAAGGTTGACGTTCAATGATCAAATAAAGTGTTTCAAGAAAACTAAAGAAGTCATTAGGGCGAAGATTGGAGATAGAGCTGCGAACAAGCATGTAAATGATGCCATGTACTTCATTGGTTTAGGTATAAATTTAAACTTATACATCTATAGTTTTCTTCTCTCTCTTTTTTTTTTTTCATTTTTGTAGAAAAGTATTAAATTACGATGCTAAATTAATATACTAATTTTTTGTTCATTTGTAATATATATAGGAAGCAACGATTATGTAAACAATTTCTTGCAGCCATTTATGGCAGATGGGCAGCAATATACACATGACGAGTTTGTCGAACTCTTGACCTCAACTCTACACAATCAGCTTTCGGTATGTATTATTCCTACTAACTTCTATTTTTTTTTCTTGAAACCAAAAATATCAAAAGAGAGATATTCGAGTAAACAAATTGGTTGGTCATCTGCACTGCCCTTTCTACTATATACTATATAATTTTATTCCTACTTTGGAAAAGTTTGGGGGTTCAAAATCTCTTATATATATATACACTACCAACTTACCAAGAGTTTGTATGTATTATAAGTTTATAACTATGGTTCCTTAGTAATTGACTACACAAATTTCATTTATTTTACGTAAATAACCAATTGAGAAAGTGTAAATACATTATAGTTAATGTTATGTGTTTGACATTTCACCAAAAAAAATAAAATGTTATGTGTATTTTTTGGATTTTGTACAATCTCAACATTTTATTAACGATTTATTAGATAAAGTTTTATAAGCAAAATTATCACATGTTATGTAGTTTTGTTTTCAGTATATATATGCTAATATGCATGAAAGTTTGAAAAATAAAGCACGTTATCATGAATAAATAACATTGTGTATTTTCTGATCCGGTTAGATAAAATACATAACATACAATAACATGTATGTTACGTTTTCAAAACCTGCGCCATGATTAGACAATGTTATATTTAATCTACAATTTGCATAGTTTAAAACCATGAAATAACTGAGATTTAGTGGAACAGACAATATACGAATTAGGAGCAAGGAAGGTAATATTCCATGGGTTAGGTCCATTGGGATGTATCCCATCACAAAGAGTGAAGTCGAAGACAGGAATGTGTCTCAAACGAGTTAACGAATGGGTTTTAGAATTCAACTCAAGAACGACGAAGCTTCTTCAAGATCTCAACAAACGCCTCCCCGGAGCTAAGTTCGTCTTCGCCGATACTTATCCTGCCGTTCTTGATCTCATCAACAATCCCACTCACTACGGTAAGAAAAAAAGAACACTAATCATTTCTTGTTACCAAAGTTTGGCATAAGTTGTCCCAAAAATATAAGCCCAATGTTTTCGAGTTTTTAAATGGTTTTCGAATTATAAATTTTTGGTTTTTAGTGTTTAGATTTTAGATTTTGATATTTTGTTCGATAACGCATATATAATTTTTATACAAGTTGTCCTGAAATATAAGGTTTTTCGAGTTTTTAAATGGTTTTCGAATTATAGATTTTAGTTTTTAGATTTTAGGTTTTGATATTTTGTTCGATAACGCATATATAATTTTTATACAAGTTGTCCCTGAAATATAAGGCTTTTCGAGTTTTTAAATGGTTTTCGAATTATAGATTTTAGTTTTTAGATTTTAGATTTGGATATTTTGTTAGATATCGCATATATGATTTCTATATAAGTTGTCCCAAAATATAATTAGGCCATGAATGTTTCGAGTTTTTAAATAGCTTTCGAATATCGATTTTGGTTTTTAGATTTTAGATTTTGATGTTTTGTTCGATAACGTATATGTGGTTTTTATATTCAATGAACGTAGGGTTTAAAACAGCAAACACGTCGTGTTGCAATGTGGACACAAGCGTTGGAGGTCTTTGTCTTCCCAATTCAAAGATGTGTAAAAACCGTAAAGACTTTGTCTTCTGGGACGCATTTCATCCGTCCGATTCGGCTAATCAAATCCTAGCCGATCATCTCTTCTCCACTCTTATGTCTTCCTCTGCTCCTTCTCCTGCTCCTAAACCAGGTCGCTAGTATACTACTTAAGAACATCAAACCAATATTTTCTTGTTAAATTGGACATGCTTGCACTAGATACATGTGTAATTAATTATATGTTTCTTGATGTAACCATCAGGACAAGTATGTGTGGCTTTATTACACAAGTATTATTTATACTGAGATCATTATGAGTTTGTAAACACATCTTGTTGTATTCGTGTTTAGGGTTCCTAAACATGAGTTATAAATATATATACATTAATATGTAAAAAAAAATATTCTTCATGCATGCAAAAAGTTTGATTATGAATATAATTTTCTAGCTAAACTTGTTCTCAGCTTTTTCTGATTTTCTCAAATTTTTAAAATTTTCTCAAACAAACGATGCACTAGTTGTACAAATGTTATTTTTCTTTTGAATATAATTTAACATTAAATTCAAAAAAAAAAAAAAGTTTGATTATGTAACTTTTGTATAATTAGTGCTCCGAAATTGTGTAACTCTTTACACCTTGTTTTTTTTTTTTCTTTGTGTGTCAAGAAACTAATTCATTATTTGTATGCCATCGATAGACAAATTTTTTTAATTTATTCGTATAATAAACACACCATATGTATCATTTATAAAAGTGGCCCTTATATGCTTATAAATTTAATTAAACAAATCGGCCGACACTACTCCAACCAATCACAAATTGCCAACACTCAACTTGGGATTCTAATTTGTTATAACTAGTAACACGTAAAACATGTGTAACAGTTATTCACCAATCACCATGGTAGATGTTTGTAATTAGTTCGGTATTTATATTTTCTTTTGCTCTAATGGAACATTATGTGTATAGACCTAAGTCAAGTTTTTTATTATTCAAAGTTTTCACATTTTTACATTTTTCAATAGTGGTCTCCTGCTATGTAATGAGAACTTTTTAAATGTTTTCTTCTCATTTCTTAATACATGGATCTCTCGACCTCATTGTCCCAATCTACCATCTTGTTAGATGTTTGGAGAAGTCTTATTTTTTACTTTTAGAGCCTTTTTCACAAGATAGTAGTAGATTAGACATTATCGACCTTTAAGACTAAAACAAAATCCTCATTAGTATATGATATTTTTAGTTTTTTAAAATTATCTAATTGTAGTATCTTATTTTATAATAAGTGTCGTGATCAAAAATACATCTAGATACATCTGAAAATTTATTAGTTATATAAATAATCCACACAACTAGTTTATTGTAGTTTTACATATCTCGTTATATATTATAAAAACAATATTACGGGATAAAATAACGTGACTTGGTTTAAAACATGTACATTATTCATGTTATGCATTTAATGCTAAGAGCAAAATCACAACTGAAAGACCCAGATTTCTGTGCATGTCTGATGTATGTGTTTTTATGCAGGCTCATTATCACATGCAAAAGATAAGGGTATTTTGGTCCAAAAATTATGAGATATCTTCTCATATTAAGATGTATGAAATGTTGCAAAATTTCAAAATATATATTTTCTTTCTTAATTCTTTCTCAAAATAATAGTATTGATTTAACTTGTCTCTATAAATAATCCACACAACTAGTTCATTGTTTGATTTTTATTTTGCTAAGAGAAATAGTAACAAGATATAAAACATGTGGAGGCTAAAGATCGGAGCTGCCTCAGCAAGAGATCATGATCCCTCTCACTTGTTTACCACCAACAACTATGTTGGTAGACAGATTTGGGAGTTTGACACAGATGCATGCTCTCATGAAGAACTCTCGGAGGTCGACGAGGCTCGCCGTAATTTCTCACTTAACCGGTCACGTTTCAAAACGAGTCCTGATCTTCTTTGGCGCATGCAGGTTAGCTAGTGAATCACACATACTAATTATGTCTCTTATAATTTAATAATATGAATGTGAAGATGTTTTTGTTTGATTTGGATTCATAAAGTTTATGAGGGAGAAGAAGTTTGAGCAAAAGATCCCGCGAGTTAGAGTAGAAGATGCAGAGAAAATAACATATGAAGATGCAAAGGCCGCGACGAGAAGAGGAATACTATATCTTGCGGCGTTGCAAGCTGATGATGGACACTGGCCTGCTGAGAACTCTGGTGTCATGTTCTTCAACGCTCCCTTTGTAAGAAGTTCATATCCTTTCTTTAACAATTTTGTAGGTTTTCTAATATTATATAGGAAAATTCTTACGAATAGCACAAAAATAAGTTTTTTTTTTTTTTTTCGTCTCACAAAAATAAGTTGTATTTCATAGATCATAGATCTAAGAAAAAAAAAGATTACAAAATAAATTTGGACAATGTCATACAAATGAAAGTAGACCCCATTTCATCAAAATCTTGTACAACTAGACTAGGACGTTGTGAAACCTTGGCACAAATAAAACTGCCATCTAAGTTTTGTAACCATTCGGGTTGATATTTTATACTTATCTTTTTGTTTGATCTAAGAAATATTACATCTAAGCAATTTCAATACAAATAAAAAAGTATAATAATTTTGAACTTTCGTATGCAATTTACTATGGAAATTTTTGAGATTTTGATAAAATGAAGTTTAGCTAGTGTTTAAAAGTATATTTAATTTTGAATCATTTTAATAGAATACAACAAACTAAATTTTTAAATCAAAGTTTGAAAATGAAACCTAAATAATTAGAAAATATATATAATCCTTTTGTTGACAAATAAACAAAAAAAAATGAAAATAAAGAATTACACAATTCTTCAGTAATTTAGTTAAATGATATTTAGGACTTACGAATTTTTCAAAAGCTATGTAATGTAAATATATGACCATATATTTTTATTTTTTCATTTTAAATCGTCTCTTGTTAAGTTGTTATGGACTTGTCGATATTAGTAAAAACTAATATATATACTGAAACATTCCATTTTCGAAAACTAAATTCACAGTTACTATGCTTATACATAACTGGACACTTGGAAAAAATCTTCACTATGGAACATCGCAAAGAGTTCATGCGCTACTTGTACAACCATCAGGTACCACACTTTAATCGAACTCACGTATATGTATAAAATATAATCACATATATGCCAACAATAATATTTTGTAGAGTGAAGATGGTGGTTGGGGATTACACATAGAAAGCCATAGTTGTATGCTTAGCACCATCCTCAACTACATCTGCCTACGGATTCTAGGAGTAGAACCAGACCAAGGAAGTGCTTGTGCAAGGGCACTTAAATGGATCCTCGACCATGGTGGTGCTACCTATACACCATTGTTCGGAAAAGCTTGGCTTTCGGTACACCCTAATGTTATGTAAATAAAAGATAATCTATTTAGATTTATCCTTAATTAATCTTGCCAATTTAATCTTTATAGGTTCTTGGAGTGTATGATTGGTCTGGCTGCAAAGCTATACCACCTGAGTTCTGGATGCTTCCTTCATTTTCTCCTATTAATGGAGGTTGATTCTTGTGATTCTTTGTCTTTTATTTGAAATGAAATTGGCCGTAGTTTTATTTGATCATATATATAATTTTTGTTTCGAATAAAATGAAGAATTTATTCGAGAAATATGTTTTTACATCTAGTGCAACGTTTCCATAGAAGGTATATATGCAATTTACGAAATTCAAAGATATTAAAACAAAAATATATAGCTTAGTTGTTATCTTGATGCGAACCAAGTAACCATTGCACCCTTTGTTATCTCCTCAGCTCTCTGATTGAAGAATTTGATCATATTTAACCAATGTAGGTACCGTGTGGATTTATTTCCGAGAGAGTTTCATGGCATTGTCATACTTATATGGTAAGAAATTTGTAGCTACACAAACATCTCTCATTCTACAGCTTCGTAAAGAGCTTTATCCTCAACCTTACGCTCAAATCGTTTGGAGCCAAGCCAGAAACCTATGCGCTAAGGTTAGTTTCCTTTTACTTTTTCATGTTTCATAAAATGGACTAGAGACCTTTCTTTTGTCAAGAAATAGTATAGATATATACCATTAACTTATGTGTTGATATATATTAATGTAGGAAGATGCTTTCAACCAACAATCATGTATACAAGATTTGTTTTGGCGAAGTGTTCATATACTCTCTGAGAACATTCTAAGCAGTTGGCCTTTCAATAAGCTCATAAGGGAAAGAGCTCTTCAAACCACAATCAAACTCATTCACTACCATAATGAAGCGACCCGACACCTTACTGGTGGATGTGTGTCAAAGGTTTTACTCTAATATAAGTAACTTTCTCATCCGAAATATAATCTAAATATAACAAAATTTTATGTTCGTATTTGGTAGGTATTTTGTATGCTTGCATGTTGGGTAGAAGAGCCAGAAGGTGATCATTTTAAGAGACATCTTGCTCGAGTCCTTGATTTTGTATGGATTGGTGATGATGGTTTGAAATTCCAGGTTAGTTTTTTTCGTTTCTTTTATTTGGGAACCTATGAAAAATAAAGACTGAAAGAGTAATTGCACTACATAAATAAAGTAAGAATAATGTAATAAGAATTAGCATTTTTCTTTTCATTTTTTAATGGTCAGATGTTTAAAAAAATGTAAATTTGATTTTCGGAGAAACAAATATCACTAATATACAAACTATTTAGTCAATAGTGTTTCAGTAAAATCTCTATAAATTAATAATGTTGATGACACAGTGAAAATCTTAATTTATAGATGTTTTAATTTATCGATACAATCATACAGTAAACTCTATTGATTTATTGAGAGATTTTTCAAATTTGATAAGTTTTAAAAAACAAATTTTTTGAAGTAAGATTTAATCGTTATAATTAATAATTTTGAGGACGCTAAATTTTTTTGATAACAAAAGTCAATGTTTATCTTTACGAGTCTAACTATATATACTCCCTAGCTAACTAAAAACACATAAGTCAAGCATATAACTTCTCTAACAAGACAAAATATCTAAATACTTTAAACATATAATATAAAAATTAAGATTTTGTGGGTTAGTCTAGTATTCTAGTATTACTTGTTGTGGATATATGATGATTCATCCTTCATCAAAAGCATATTAAGATTATGTATATACTTGTGCAGATTTCTGGTAGTCAATTGTGGGATACAGCCTTTTCACTCAAAGCCATTTTAGCTGGTGATATTGATGATGAGATTAGGCCAACTCTGAAAAAAGGATATGATTTTCTGAAGAAATCTCAGCTTACACAAAACCCACTTGGTGACCATCACAAAATGTTTAGAAACATTACAAAAGGTGCATGGAGCTTTTCTGACAAAGACCAAGGATTGCCTATTTCAGATTGTACTGCCGAGAGTTTAGAGGTGAGTACATGTGCCTTCTCTCAATTATAAAGTTTTTATCTACTTAACATTATATGCATGTGTGTGTCATGGCTAGTGCTGCTTAATGTTTGAAACCATGCCATTGGAGTTTATTGGTGAGAAAATGGATGTAAAGAAGCTATATGATGCAGTCAACATGATTCTTCATTATCAGGTTATTAATCATATGTAAGAAGTTTGGTTGAGAATGTTCGCAAATTTGTTATAAAATTGTGTTTTTTTCGATATGAATATTGCTAGAGCAAGAATGGAGGCTTAGCAGCATGGGAGCCAGCACCCGGGAAAACTTGGCTAGAGGTATTGACCATTTGAAATTGCATTTGTTTTAAGATTGGCTTATTTGAGTGTAACAAATGACTTAAATAAAATCTTATGCAGTGGTTTAGTCCAGTGGAGTTTATGGAAAATGCAATAGTGGAACATCAGTAATATGTTACTCTTTTATATATAGCATCACAATATTTTTCTTCTTTTTTCTTTTTTGGCTAAAAGTATTGGGTCATAAATTGTATTTAGGTATGTAGAATGCACAGGGTCATCGATAGTAGCAATGGCTCGGTTCATGAAACAATTTCCAAAACATAGAAGACAAGAGGTAGAAAAATTTATAAAAAATGGAACAAAATTTATTGAGGATGTTCAAATGCAAGATGGTTCGTGGTATGGTAACTGGGCAGTGTGCTTCCTCTATGGAACCTTGTTTGCATTAAGAGGATTAGTGGCTGCAGGCAAGACCTACAACAATTGCGAGGCTATCCGTAGAGCGGTTCGATTCCTTCTCGACACGCAAAATGCCGAAGGCGGATGGGGAGAGAGTTATCATTCTTGTCTTGAAAGGAAATACATTCCTAAAGATGGAAACAACATGACGAATGTTGTGAATACAGGAGAAGCACTTATGAGTCTGATTTTGGCTGGTCAAATGGAAAGAGATCCTAGACCGGTTCACCGAGCTGCCAAAGTTTTGATCAATTTACAATTGGATAATGGAGATTTCCCACAAGAGGTAATTAATATGTTAACTTAGTTAAATTTATGAGAAATATGTCATCAAATCTTGTTAATTTATACATAAACTACTGAAAATGATGTTTTTGTTTCTTTCTTCAGGAAATGAGTGGGGTGTTCAATGTTAATCTGAAGTTTCATTCTCCTAATTATAGGAACATCTTCACTCTTTGGTCACTCGCAAATTATTCGCAAGCCCTTCTATGTTTACATAAGTGAGCACTCCACTTTTAGTTATTATTTTTATCAACACTATCACTTTTCAGTCTTAATACATGTAAACAACTTCTTCCAAATATTTTGTCACAACAAATTTTTCCACAGTTCAAAATCCTGACCATCTATATATACATTTTGAAGTACCTTTTGTAATAAAATATATTTAGGGTTATAACCTTTTATTTTTTAATGTTTGCATAGTTAAACCCTTGCCATTTGAATAAATAACAAGACTTAAAAGTAATTTCTGTAATTAAATCATAAGCAAATAGCAAAATTGGAAACAAGTATTTAGTACATCAAAAAAAATTCCTAAAATCTCTCTCTAATAAATCGAATCTCTCTCCAATATATTTATATAATCTTATTTGTTTTTATTTTATATTATTACATGATATTTATCTATAATAAAAATACAAATTTTATTCGACATCGTTTGCAATTTGAATTTTTGTAAATCGACGTATATTACTCAATCGATAAAGGAAAAAATGTATGTACAACGTCTACATAATTTAGAAAAATTTAGATAACATTTCAAAACCACTATAAATATGACGAATATGCTTTTAACTACAAATGAGCACGAAGTTTGATTTCTCAAGGATCCAAAAAAAAAACGGTTTAATTCAGTTCTTTATTTTAAAAATTAAAACTCTTAAAAAGTTTCAATATATTAGAAATTTTAATTTTTTACAAAGTTTATAATATTATAAATATATCTTTTAAAAGCTTAAAATTTTATAATATTTAATTTATTGTTTACAGAATATTTAAATTATTTAAATTATTTAATTCTACAAAAGATTAAAGTATTATTAATATTTAGGGAAACTACAATGCATGTACCTAAATAAATAAAAAAATTAAATTTTCATCTCCCATAAAATTTTATTTAGCTTATTATTTTTCTGACATTTTTAACCCTATTGTTCTACTAAAATAAAATAAAATAGATAAAATCTCACATTTTTTCTCTCTCTTTTTCTCTTTCTCCCTTCTTCTTTCTTCTTCTTTCTTCTTCTCTCTCATCTTCACTATGAGTAAATTGCAAAATGGAGCTATAGTTTCTTCCTCGTGTATAATCTTAATAGATGAAATCAAGTATCTCGATGGAGGTTTGGTGTAGCTCCGATCTCTTTTCCGGTGGTGTTGGGTGTGGAAAGGTGTTGATTGAGGGTCATGGAGGCCGAAAGTCTCACGATGTCTTAGTCTTTCTCCGTTGCGGTTTTGTAGCTGCTTGAAGACTATGACAAGATCTGCTGGAGATTATGGAGCAAGACGAATTTATCGAATATTCAATAAGTTAGCATATGAACTTATCTTGTTAATATAAAACTTATTTGTATAACAACTATCTTACCATGTGCATACGATATTATACAGATTTTTAATATATTATCCAAGAGGAAGAATCATCCGATGATCATAAACAAAAGTTTGGCTACTTCACTCAGAGACCTGTGGATAGGAGAAAATCGTTAATTTATCGAATATTGAATAGTTTAGCATGCTAAATTTCAATTTATCAGATATTGAATAAATTAACATGCTAAAATTATGATTTATCGAATATTGAATAACTTAGCATACTAACTTAACATCTTAATATAAATATTATCCGTATAATAACTATTTTACCATGTGCATACAAATATTATTCAAATATTTAAATATCTTAGCACATAATATATCATTAGTATGAATAGTGTTAGCATTAATTTAACAGATAATATGTAATTTATCGCGATAACAGTTTATTTAACATGTTTAAATTAAAATAAATTATCGAATGCTAAAAATAAGTTTATTTAACACACATGACTCTATCGAATGCTATGAGTATTGTCAGAACAAGTCAGAAGGTTATTTATAAAATCTAACCTGACACTACACCTTTTTATAACATACTTCAGAGCCTATATATTTATTGTTTACTCAGCTTAGGGTTAGTTGTGTAACTTGGTTATGGGAGAGTAGGGAAAACTAATTTTTCAGTTATTGATCCTCTTTTTTTTTGTTTTTCGATTATTACAGCACCTATTTTTAACAAGCCCTAATATTTAACTCTAAAAAATTAAAATATAATAATATGGTACATAAATATGATTGAACGGGTTTGAGTTTCCATAAATATGATTATACTTTTCTTACACGTTGTCTATATTTAATAATTTTTTTGCGGGTTAACTTAAAATATAATTTTTTATTGACAAAAAAATCATCTTGCGGTCTGTGGATTGACCACATAAATCTATGAATCTACTTATAATAAAAATTCATAAAATTATATAAAATTAAACTGGAATAAAGACGGATAAAAACTAGACTATATAAACCAACTACAAAAATGACCAACCAAACAAATATATTAAATTATAGACCCGTAGTGTACCACGAGATAAATCCTAGTTCTCTTAACAAATATACAAATGCACCCAAAAGAATCGTCAGCTCCAAATTTTGCATACGTGGTTTACTATTCATCAAAAATATGCATATGTGACATAACAAAAAGTAAGACACATGAAAATCTTGTTGTTTTTGTACCTAGTGGTAAGTCCCTCTTTACATTGTTGTTGTAGGTTTCTCATGTTAGTGAGGAGACTATGTTCATTCAGATATGGGGATACCACCAAAAGTTTGGTATTCCAAGTTTTCCCCATAATAACATTTGTGAATACGTTCTAGTAATTTAATCAAGTACTCATGTGCATCTTGTTATTGACCGATTTCAAAGTTTGGTAATACGCCTAATTAAGCAGTCAAGGGAATCCTCATTAGTCTGATTAGAAAAGGCAAAATTAGCATACAAAAGTGCAAGTAAAGAAGGTATGACAAGCATATGTTCTAGGTCTGAAACAAATTCATTTAGTGATAATGTTTTGTTAGTAGCTTCACGGGCAGTCCAAACATGCTTCTGCATCGCAGCTATATCACAAAACCCAATCACACGGTCTACACAAACGATTTGATATGAAAAATGTATCACTGGCTAAAGTAAAAACAAACTTAGTACAATATATAAATCTCTATAAATTAATAATGTTGAGACCGTTAAAATCTATTAATTTATAAAGATTTTAGTTTATTGATAACTTCATAGTTACTAATTTCTAGAGAAATTTTCCTAATTTGGTAAGTTTTTCAACAAATTTTTTTTTTTAATAAGATTTGATCGTTATAACTAATATTTGTAGAGCCAATTACAAGGAAATAACAATTATCATGTTTTCAAAGAGAATACTAAAATATATTTTTTTAATAAAAATATTAGAAATGAGAACTCTAACAAAATCCAATGTGTATACAAATATATATTGATAATATCATATAATAATAATTTTATAATATTGATGGGACTATGGTCTTAAAAATATTATTAGCTATTACATTATTGAATTGTGTACAGTATCTATATTATTAATTTTGAAGTACATTTGATGTTCTACCCTTGAAGTTATGCTTATTTAAAAAGTTATGAAAAATTTAATCCTACAAATTTGCAAAAAAAACTAAATATGGAAAATCAAAATGTACCTAAGAAATCGAAACAATCAATTAGTTTCCTAAATTTTCTCTACCAATTTGGTATATAAAAAATATACATGTTATATTTATATCAAAACTTTATAATTAAATGGTTTCATATCTTTATATGATCTTATTTATTGATTAATTTATTTTATTACATAAAAATATGAATAATAAAAATAATTTTTTAATTCGCGTATGTTGAAATTTGAATTTATGAAAATGGACGTACATTACTCGATTGATACAAAAAACTAAGTATATATTCTAAATATGTAATTTACGTATATTCTGACTTCTATTACAAAAATGGTCAAATTGAATAACTTATCAATAAATATTTCTTCGCGCTATTAAAATTTTCATTGTTTTATTTTTCTTTATTATATCAAAAATCATTATATTATCATTTACTCGTTATTTTCTTTCTACTATCTTATCTAAAACTCATTATATAAATATATGATTCACCATAATCGACTGCACTGCAATGAAATAAAAACGTAATATATTCTAATCCGTCAAGAATCATATGTATGTAAATATTTGTTCGCGCTGTAGACTACAGCCTGTAGTGCGGATCTGATCCTAATTACACAAGCTAAACTTGAGATCAGATAAATCTATTAATTTATAACAGTTATCACTGTATCCCTAAAGTCCATGACAAGTTAAGTTTTAAGTTATAGCAGCAATTTAACCTCATTTAAACAGAACAAACGATTAATGGATTCTTTACCTAAAGCCTCATGGACCAAGAGGACAAAGAGGCCTACAAATTGAGAAAGGCCCGAGTAAAGAACAAGTAAGAAGAAAAGTACAAAACTATGTCGTTTCATTTCAAGTTTTAACTGAAAAGTGCTGTTTTATAAGACTTTGGATCGCCAAGTGTTTTTTTTTTCTCTTTATCAATGTTGATATTCAAAATTCAACATTTTATTTTCCTTGTGAAAGACCAAATAAAATTGTATCTGTTAATATAATTTTTGTGTGAAAGGAAAAAAAAAAAATCTGAAAGGCAACAATAGCGTGACAGAAGAGCGAAGAGACACCGTTTTCACAAACTGACAAATTCTATTACCTTTAAGTAAGCAAGGTCCAGATTCTTCTTCTTCTTCTTCCTCTATCTCTCAACATCCACCATTAAGCAAATATAACCATTTCGATTCTGATTCAATCAAATTCGGAATTTTTCGAGTGTTGAATCGTCTAAAGGTTCAATCTTTGGAGATGGGTCTTTGGGATTCACTTCTTAACTGGCTCAGGAGGTACAGTTTCTTCTTTTTATTTGCTCTCTTTTGAGTCCTTATTTGTGGGTTTGCATCAAAATCATCTCTTTTGCTGATTAAGTTGGTCTCTTTGTTGTTCCATTGAAGTATTTTGCAAGTATGGTTCTGGGTTTAGTAAAAAGCCAGAAACTTTGTATCACTTGTGTTCCGTAATCTTGAGACCCTTTTGAGTTCTTGGGCTGTGTCCTCTACTGTTACATTATATAAATTGGTTCATTAGAAATCAGCCTTTATTTCTATGTTCTTTTAGTATTGATCTTTAGTTGATTGAGAACTCTATGATTCATTTTTAGTACTGATGCGTTATGTGGTGTTACTATGCCTTACAATGCTCATTTATGTGAAAGTTCAGGACTTGGTAGGTCAAATTAATAAAAGCAATAGATTACGTGTATACTTGTATCAGGTTCGTATAGTATATAGCAGAATCATACTGTTCACTGCAATTACCTTTTTCTTTATTCAGTTGTGGAATTTAGAGTGTGAACAACTTCAGACATTAGATTTTGATTCAGTGTTTGTACTTTATATTGCTTGGTCAGCTTGTTCTTCAAACAAGAGATGGAGCTCTCACTTGTTGGGCTTCAGAATGCTGGGAAGACTTCTCTTGTCAATGCCATTGCTGTGAGTAAAACTCTTAGAGGTTTTAGTGGATAAATAGTACTATCGAATGAATCTAATCTTATGTGTGTTTCGCTTCTTGTTTTCTTTGGATTTGTTAAGACTGGAGGTTACAGTGAAGATATGATACCAACTGTAGGATTTAACATGAGGAAAGTTACAAAAGGGAATGTTACGATAAAGATTTGGGATCTTGGAGGGCAAAGAAGGTTTCGTACCATGTGGGAGCGTTACTGTCGTGGAGTTTCCGCCATTGTGTATACCCTTTTGAAACCTTTTCGATATTCTTTGAAGATCCGATGTTACTACTTGGTAAAAGTTTTGATTGGTATTCATAATAACATTGCAGGTATGTGATTGATGCTGCAGATCGAGATAGTGTACCGATATCAAGAAGCGAGTTGAATGATCTGTTAACAAAACCGTCTTTAAATGGCATTCCTCTTCTGATTCTTGGCAACAAAATCGACAAGTCTGAAGCTCTCTCTAAGCAAGCTTTGGTTGATCAACTGTAAGTTTCTTCTTCAAGTCCATTGAACCTGATCTGAATTCAAGTATATATATGACATGGGTTGTTTTGATGCAGAGGGCTTGAATCCATAGCAGACAGAGAGGTTTGCTGTTACATGATCTCGTGTAAGGACTCGATAAACATAGATGCTGTCATAGATTGGCTCATCAAGCACTCGAGAACCGCTAAGTAAAACAGACACAACCAAGCTCATCGATCCAGAGGAAAACAAAAAAAGCTTGTTTTGGTTTCTTGATGTTGTTTTATTTGTTGAGAATCAATCAGATGTAAATCATCAGCTTTTGGTTTCTTCTCTTGTTTTACAATTCTTCAATGTTCAAATACTTTTGGTTAATGCAGTCCAATTTAGTTCAGTTCATGTAAATCAGAACCCGGTTTAATCCGGTTAAATTCATAGCTTCCTGGTGATTAAATAGTATTCGGTTCTTGTAAATCAGAACCCGGTTTAATCCGGTTAAATTCATAGCTTCCTGGTGATGTAAATAGTAAAATCCATCAGCATCGTGTTTGAGGTGTTTCATTTTGGTATAAAGCCGGTTTAAGCAATATAAATACAAACTAAATCAAAATCAGAAACCGGTTTAAGCCGGTTCGAAACAGAGCTTTGTGGTTCTATAAAATCTTCTTTGCTCATCTTATTAATATAATCTTCTTGTCTAACCAATTCTTCAAAATATTCCAAAATATTACATGCTTTATTGAATTTATGAATTCCACAACAAAGTCCAATTTTAAGAAAACCAAAAAACCGGTTTAAACCGGTTAAGACATCAAAGCTTACTAGTAACATGAACATTCCTAACTTTAGCCAATTTCGACGACGTGTCCTTAGGAACAACCACCGTAAGAACACCGTTCTCCACGTAAGCTTTAACTTGATCAACTTTCACATTCTCCGGCAACTCAACTCGCCGGAGAAACTCACCTTTACCGGAAAAAGCTTCTCTCTCCGCCACGTGCCAAACCAAATCCTCTTCTTTCTTCTGCTTCATCAGTCCTTCTCCTCTGATACTCAAAACGTTACCTTCTTCAATCTGCACTTTGATGTCATCTTTACTGTAACCTGGAACGTTGATCTTGAAGATATGAGAATTCGAAGATTCCATCCAATCAATCAGAGCCGTTGATCTTGACCATTCTTGGAATCTTCGAAATGGATACCAGAATGTTCCATCTGCCATGTTTCTTCTACCTATCTCCTTTAGCTTAGCTTGTTACTAGTGATGTGTTCACATATCTCTCTATATATATATATATATATTCTTCAACCTATCCACAACACAAGTCTAGACTGTTCTTCGTTTTATCTTGTTCCGTCATTTTTTTTTTACGACTCTGGAACATTGGAGAAGATAAAGAGGTAATAATCAAGTACGGTGCGGTGTATATTACTATTGTGGATCTAGAGTGATTATAACCGTTGGATGAGATTTTATGATTTAATAAGTATTTGGGCCTTTTCTTTACACAAGTTAATTGGGCTTTTACTTTACTTTCAGCCAATCTATCTTTAACATTTTAAATACATTTGGTACTAAAATCTATTTTGGATAATAATTTTTTATTTTGTAATATTTGCATAATTAAATTCTTGTCATTTGAATAAATAACAATACTTAAAAGTAAATTTTATAATTAAAATCACAAGCAAATCGCAAAATTGGAAACAAACATTTATTACATCAAAAAAAATTCCTAAAATCTATCTCTAATAAATCGAATCTCTCTCCAATATATTTCTATAATCTTATTTGTTTTTAATTTATATTATTACATAAAATATATTTATAATAAAAATAAAAAATTTCCACACATTTTGCAATTAAATTTTTTGATAACGGACGTATATAACTAAATCGATAAAGAAAAAAATATATGTACAATGTCTACATAAGGTAGAAATTTTTTGATAATAGTTTAAAATCATTATAAATAGGAATAATATGTTCACTACTACAAATGAGCACGAACTTTGATTTCTCAAATATACAAATTAAAAGTTTTATTCAGTTTAATCCGGTTCTTTATTTAAGAAAAATAAAACTCTTAACAAGTTTCATAATATTACAAATTTTCATTTAAAAGCTGCAAATTAGAATATTTAATTTAAGTTTTATATAATATTAAATAATTTAAACTCTACAAAAATTTAAAGTATTATTAATATTTTAACTCTAAAATATTTAAAATATAATAATATTGTACATAAATATGATTAAACATGTTTGAGTTTACATAAATATGATTATGTTTTTTTACTGGTTGTCTATATATAAAATCTTTTACGGGTTAAGTTAAAATATAACTTTTTATTTACAACAAAATTGACTCGCGGTATACAGCAGGTTGCCACATATATCTATGAAACTACTTATAATACAAATTTATAAAATTATATAAATTTAAATAAAATAAACACGTATAAAACTAGACTATATAAACCAACTACGAAAAATGATCAATTAAAAAAATATATTAAATTATGAGCCCGTGGTGTCCCACGAGATAAATCCTAGCTTAATACGTAACTTTATACACACTATAGTTATAAATCTTGAATTTGATGTTATCAAGTGTAGTAGAAAAGTTAATATAAATTTCAAAAATAATCCATATGATAATTATTCCTATCAGCTTAGACTTGTTTATAGTTATAGATGATTTGGTCAATCAACCATTTTGTGTTACGGATGTTTTACATAACTGAGTTTTTGACAATGCTATGTGTTGTTTTTACGGAGAGGACTAGCTAGGGACGCAGAGATGGAACAAACCCTAATAAGCTCTTTGGAAAGAGGTTCGTAATTAGTGATTACAAATTTTCTCAAGTTGCCTCTTTGACCTATACACAACAAAATTTTAAGGCGCAAATGAATAATTGCAAGTACCAAAACGATTTCAATATCTAATAAGAAAATCATATGATATATCAAAACATAGTCGATACAGGAAAACTAAAGACAGAGCAGAATATGTAAGAATGAATACCTCTCAAGAAAATCAAACGGATTTCCAAAATCTTCTTAACCCTAGCCCTAACTTTTAGCCTAAGCCAAAGTTTGAGTCTCCTCCTCCTCGTAAGGAACCCTCCGACACAAGGGACAAGAGTTTTGACGACCAAGCCACTCGAAAAGACATTCTTGATGAAACATATGCAAACATCGAGGCATCCGGATGATGCAACCGGACAAATTCTCAATACAAATCGAACACGTTGGTTCCACTCTCTGTTCTTCCGACAACCTCTGTAATACTTCAGCCGAAGCACCTCTTGGAACAGAAACAACAGGCGACAAAATCATATACCTGATCTCAAGGACAAATTTCACATTGACGGTAACGAAAACAGGTTCTCTAAGAGAAACATCATTATCAAACGATTGATTAACTCTAAAGGCGATAAGTTCACTTATATAACTACACCAAGGAACTTGTTCATGTTGATCTACATAACTGCACCAAGTAACTTGTTTAACACGTAAGAGTTGAGAGAGATGGCTTGGCGTGAAGCTACGTGGAAACAAGCGGATATGAGAATTTGGTTCATGTAGAGTTTTAGGAGAATCTAAAAGTGTTACAATTCCACTTTCGTCTTCAATTATTGTCTCTTCGAGCTTTTCGTGTGGATAGATTTTGACTACGTTCTTAGACTCTTTATTTATTGGTAGATTCGAAACCCACGAATTGATTTCTATTGTTAGAGTTTGTCTTTCCATTGCGCAAAAATCAAACCCTAGTTTTCGGAGTGGGTTGAAGAAGAGAGATCGGCCGGTGATGAAGACTTCTTCTTAAGAGAAGAGAGAAAAATATTATGCCTTCAGGATTTGGTTTAGGTAATGTTTACAGGATAGTAAGATATTTTATCACCAATATCTTTTGTATATCATATTTTTACTTTATTAGAAAATCGGATATTTCCCTTTATTTTTTTTTTCTCTATCAAATTCCAAAAAATATGTTTGGTACGTTATTATGGTTTAAGTAGACCAGAATTTAATAGACAGGAAAATAATTAACAACCTTTTGAAGAAAAATGATAGTGTATTTACGAGAGTTAATAATTGAACCTCTCTTTAATTAGCCTTTTTTTTTTTTACAGCAAGCGTTAAACAAAAACAAAAAGTAAACACCAAAGGATCGAAGTGTGAGAAAAATTGTACAAAACTTGTATACAAATAATAAGAATTCTTGTAAAAGACTGAGAAAATATTGGCTTTACCACAAAATACTATGTCCATTTTGATCATAAAAAAAATTTATAGACATGGAAATTTTGAGTTGCTGAAAAGGTAATGAATTTATACTATTGTGACTTACCTTATGCAGATTTTGATGTGCTTCAATGTTCCAATCACCACCGTGGAAACATAGTCATCGTTTGGTGTTGGAAGTCGGACATTAAGTATAAACTCGAAACGGCTTACGTGGGTTTTGATGAGTTAGAATGTTTAAAATAATCCATATTATTTACAATTAATTTTTATTTTTTGTATTTATATGTTCAAATTATAGGCTATATTGAAAAAAAAACTTTGATGATGGAGTTGAGGATACTACATCAGTAACAAGTAACTCATAAATATAAGACTAAGTGATACTGATGATATGAAGGTAAAAAAATGAATTGAGATTGTTACTTATGAATAAAGATGTGATTATGAATTTTTGACCAAACTCCATTGTGTTATTGTTGTTTAGATACTGATTATTATATATTAGAAGAACTAGAAGAGGGAAAAAGAGAAGAATATTATTAGTTTTATGACTTTGTTTTTGGTTTTGATATTTGTCTATGTTTTTGGCTTTTGATACTTAATAGAGAAATACCCTCTATTTAATTATACAGTATAATGTATACCCTAATTAAACTTAATATATATTATGTTGACTTTTTCTTAGAATCATGTACGTTTTAAAAGAATTTTATTAGAGTTGGTCACACATACCATTTTTAAATATATTTGGTATAATTTCTCCATATAATATAAAATGACTAATTTTTTTAAACAATCTATTTTGCTACACACATACATCACACTAATTAGCTTACACACATACAATAATATAAAACAATCTATTTTTTAATAACTTATGGTTATTAATTAGTCATGTTCTCATGGCCTGTCTAGATCATTAAGCAAATTTGAAATGGTTTGAACGTAAGAAAACGTATGCATTGCTTTAGCTTTAAAGTGAAGGTGATGAGAAGGTCACATAACACTTGAGAAGAATATTAGAAAATTTTGATATCTTTAGAAGAGAATATATGCCATTTGACAAAATAAAGATCGACATAAACCTTTTGCTTTTAGACCTCTTCTCTCTTTTGCATATGCAACTTTTACTTTTGTTTGCTTTAAGTAATCTTTGTTTCTGAATATGCATAAAGCTTAACCTATATAATTCATTTCTTAAGACTCCCTTTTCTTATCTTCTTTTTTTTTTTCCATTTGAAATCATTATTATCACAAATATTATGTTAACAAACAATCGAAACAAAAATAATGCTGAAAAAAGTAGAAAAAGAAATAAAGTTTTGACAGAATCCAAAGCAATATACATCTCATCTGAATACTTTTTTTTGCTTCTTTGAGATCTACGCTCTTGCGAATCCTCACAACTTTGACATTTTATTTACCTGAAATTTTTTTAAAATACATATACACATATTAATTAAAATTTAACTTTGAATATCCTAATAATTAAAGGTTATCATACTAATTCTTTGATGCACATGCACGTGCAAGCATATATTACATATTACTACATGACGTACCTTTATCGTAAAACCCATGCATGTATAAATTACTTGAATATGTTTTTATGTGTGTTTTCCATATTTTTTTGTGAAATAATTTAGATAAAACTAAAACATTTATGTAAGAAAACAAAAATAAAAAGTTACCTCCACCGCCGCGACTGCAAACACCTCTAAGGAAGAGAAGGAAGATGATAAGAAGAACAACTGCAGCTAGTAGTCCTATGATGATCGCAAACGTTCTTTCACCTCCGTAGTTTGCTTTATCTAATTTTATTCAACAACAACAATTTATCAAAATGCAAAAACATTAGACTCTTTGCTTCATTTAAATATTAATGCAAAACTTTATTTAAAAAAGGAATAATAATCTTCAGAACATATAATTTTCAGTAAGTTTCCATTTTACTATCCAAGAAAAATTCTAAAGCAAAATATAACTTATACTATTTAATTTAGAGAGAAAGTACAAAATTTAGAAAATAATCCAAACTTATGAAATATATAATTTGGGTTCCTCTTTTGTCATTTTCTCTCAAATTGATATATAAAAGTTTCAACAGAACTAAGAAATATAATATTAGTAAATAACAATATTACAAAAAAATAAAAATATCAAAATGCAAAAACATTAGACTCTTGCTTCATTTTATAAAATCAGTGCAAGTCTTTATTAATAAAGAAAATAATGGTTCAAAAGATATAATTATTTTCAGTAATTAAGTTTCCATTTTAATATTCAACAAAAATTCTAAAGCAAAAAATAACTTATGTTTAATTTAGAGAGAATATACATAAGTTTTTTAAAATACTCCAAACTTATGAAATATATAATTTGGGTTCCTCTTTTGTCATTTTCTCTCAAATTAATATATAAAATTTGCAACAGAACTAAGATATATACTATTAGAAAAAAAAATATTACAAAAAAAAACTAAAAATACCAAAGAAAAAAATATAAATTAAACTTTTGGTGTTTTAAAAATCTAATTTATATATTTGGAGAGTTTCCTTACTAAGAATAGTAAGTAAAGAAAACTTACAATTATGAGACTTGGCATAGTGTTGTGCACCATCAGTTGAATATCTTGCGTAACACTTAGCCAAGAACATGTCTCCAAAGACGGCCGTGCCACAATCACTCTTTAGCTTTCCGATGGCCGTTCCTAAACAGTCTTGGCACTCCGACACCGTTAGATCTCCTACACACTGTCCCATACCTTGAACATCACCGGACCCTCCGGCTCGAAAATACCCTCCTCCGTTAACTAGCTCAGTGAGAACGGCGTCTCTCCGGCTGATCCCGTCGGTGTTGTAACCCTCAGAAGGTCCACACTTCTTTAGGACAACGGTCTTGTCTTCTTGTCCGAGGAAGCTGATGTTATCGTACTTGACGTAGCAGCCTGCGAGCTGGAGGGCACCACCGCATGTGAGAGGACAAAGAGGACCAACTTGAGAGACGGCACGTGCTACACACGTGGCGCAGTCGGGCATGGAGAGGTCACCACGGCATTGAAAGAGGCCACGAGCTGTGTCCGAGGAGGAAGAGCCTAAGATGGTGAAGTTGTTGTAAGATGAGTATGTGGCTGAGTTGACTAAAGAAGTGAGAAGAGAGTTGAGGTTTGACTCATAAGCAGAGGACGGAGAGAACTTTTGCTGGGAGCAGCCACCGTAGACGAATGCGTCTGTGGCGGAGGTTGCAGAGGAGAGTGAAGGAGCCGTTGCGGCCAGGAGAGTGAAGAAGAAGGAGAGAGTTTTGATAATGTTTCTTGCCATTGGCGTTGATGGGAAAAGAGAGAAAGACATTGGCAATAAAAAATGAATACCTATTTATATACATATGTTAACTACTGATTAAGGTTTACTTAAAGGCAATGTGGAATGATGAAACCACTCATATAATATATTAAGTACCGTATAATGGTAACTAGGTAATCACATAATTAAACTAAGGATGAAACTATTTTAATAGTATTCATTTCAATAAAACTTATGAAATATGAATCAATAAATCAGTCTTCATTTTCATTGATCAAAATTGTTTTTATTAACTATTTGCTTTAGTTTTTCTTTTGTTAATTATTTCATAAATAATCTGTAATAGTCGAGCTTATCAAATTATTAAGGATTTGATCCCTAAGTAAGCTAATTAGTGAGATGCGTAATAAAGGTATATATAGTTTCATTTTAAAATTTAATTATATTTTCAGTAACATGTGGATGGCTTGACTAAAGAAGTTCTAAGCTTTTCATAAAGTAGGCAGCCATGCAACAAAGGTTTTAAATTTCTTTAAATCTAAAATAACAGTATAAGGATGGGTAGAAAATAGTTTATTTTAAGTCGTATAGGAGTAAATTAGCATCATGATATGCAATTTAGTACGTTATATATTACTATGGTTTCAAAAAGTAAACTACAATGTATCAAAAGAAATCGTTACATTTTTAATAAAACTATATATATCGAATCAATCATAGATTTGCCATTTTTTATAATAGCAATTGTGGATTTGTCATTCTTGCTAAAATTTTATAAATGTGATTAAACATGCCCTCAAAAATTTAAAGAATCAATTATAGATTTGCCATTTTATTTGATGCTATTTGTGGATTGGCCATTTTTGGTAAATCTTTATGAATTTGCCATTTTCAGGTTAAAAAATGCTATTAAACATGCGTTTTACTCGTTATGTTTGGGTTTAGTCGGTTTTATTTTTCTTTAGGGTTTAGTATTTACTATAAAGTACGTTTTTAGCAAATTAAAAAGAAATCGAAAAATGGACATTTTTAAAAGTTCAAAAAATGGACTTTCGTAAAATATGCATTAAAATGGCATTTTCCGTAAGAATCCGCTATATATATAGTTTTTCTTTCATAACAAGAGAATGCAAAATTGAAAAAGAAACTTTTTTTTTTCCTTTCATAGCTAAAGAATGTCAAATTGTAAAGCTGAATATTCTTTATTTTTTTTGTTGCAAATAATTCTTCAAAGGGGATGGTGGTAGGTGAATGATCCGTGAGAGCTTTAAGGTTCATATATTTTTTTCTGTTAAATTTCATATTTATTTTGTAAAGAAGAAAGCTTTTTCGAACGAAGACACATATTTCTCCAACTGTACCCATCGCACTCATCGAGTTTTTCCATTTCTTCTTTTTAGGATATTCATTGCTTGCTCTCGAAGGAACTCTTAGTACGTACCACGTCTTTTAATCTTATTTAACATTTTCTTTATTTCAAAAAGATATGAAATTTTTGGTACTATAGTTAACATCGCATGTATTGAGATATATAGTTGTAAATTAAAGATATGTGATTTTGATTATCTCTACTGTATCATTCAAAATCACGATTTTGTTACTAGTATTGGCTTGGAGTTTTAATGATTTTTACATGATCAAGAATTAATTAACCAACCAAAGGGACACCTTATGTGCTAAAGGTCATAGTGGAGATAAGACTCAAAGTGACTAATAAGTGAGAGGTTTATTTTTGCTTTTTTTTTTGTTTAAAGACTCATGAATGTGAGATAGTTTAGCTGGTGACAGTACGTACTTGATGTGTCTCGTTTTCATCTCTTTTTGTTTTTTTTAGGTGTACACACTTTTTATAGCTTGTGAATAACTTAGGTGAAGTTTAGAGGACAACTGTTTTGAGAAGGTAAGGAAATACACTCTTTGAGACAATGCTTTGCGCATCTTGTATCAGTAAAATCGAATTTAGAAAGTCCGACCATTAGTGTCAGGATTGATGGATGATGGACGATGGATCATTTTAGTGGTAAATGTCTGACTTTGGCTCAGTTTTGGATATGCACCAACCCGTACGTTTATGCCATCTGCAAACTTGGTTTGGTGAGAAGAACCGTTCATAAGTAAAAGCCTCAAAGGTTATTCGCAGCAAAATGGCCAAACCAAAGTTTAAAAACTTCATTTTGCTTTTGATTTATAGATAAAAACATTTTGTCTACTTCATTTTTTACACTTACCTAAAAACGAACCAAAACGAACCAAAAAACTATCTATTGTTATGAATAATATTATGTGTATGTGGATATCCATTATATGGGGGCACCTACAAAGGGAGGTTGTTAGTGAGGTTCATAGGTTTATTGTGGGTAAATATTTATATATATTTCTAATATCTTTATCCCTCCTATTTATTTGAGATTTTAATTCCCCATCTATCTTATTATTTTTGCAGCCATTTTTTTGGCCACAAACAGGGGCATCCGATTTTACACATCACACCCTTACAATAAGCAGCTACCCTTTAATCATTAAGGTTAAATTTGTTATTTCATATATCAGGTCGGTTTAAAATCAATTAATATAACCCGATTACAACTATTGGATCCTGCAACCAAAACTAAAACGTCAAATACGAAAGGCTTAACAGATATAAATGTTTTTTCCGTCAAGCCCATCAATACTTTCCGAATCGGCCCATTGTTATGTATGTAAACATAATAAACACTAGATTCGGACCCGCACGTGCGGGATTGATTTTCAAAATGAAATTTATTATTAAATTTTGAAATATATTGCGTATCTACAGTGTATGTTTGTAAACGTAGCTTTTAGGAATCGTATTAACATATATAGTCTAAACTCGTACCCGTTCAATACTTGATTTGTTTTTAAATCACTCTAAACGAAAAAGAATGATACAATTTTGTTTTGGACAGATGTACACTAAAACAAATAGTAAAAAAAATGTGGTTTGTATATTTTGGGAAAGAAACCATGATCTGTGCGTCCTAATATGTCATGTACTCATGTTTTTCCATCTCCTAACTATTTTAATAATAATTTACTCATTTAAGATGGTATATTTTTTTCGAACATATAAGAAAATAAGTTAACGATTTAAACTTCCACGTAAATGTGGGGTTTCATTTGTAGATATATTTATTCTCTATAGCGTTTATAACATAAACTAATATTGGTTTGCTTTCACGAAGTTTGTGAATGTCAGATCGACATGATAGCGGATCCAAACTGAATGTGAACGATGAGCTACAAACATGATTTAAACAATGAAAATAAATGAAAACATTTGTCCTCGGAAGGCCTAAATATATATGTCAATGGGTCAAACACGTTCCTATGCATGCTCAACACTAAAAATATTTTTAACTCAATATAGATTAAAATAATTTGACCTGCAAAAAACAGATTTCCTGTAATCCACATTAGTAAATAGTATGTCCGCATATGTTATTCTTGAATTCGCGTTAGCTAAAATTTTTGTCCCATATTATATCATGAATAGTTTGGAGGATATTTTTATGTATCAAGTTACCTATACCAGTTATTTCATGTTTTGATATTTGAAATAAAATTGGAAAGTTAAAAGTGAATTTAATAATTCAAATTCATGTTCATGTATCATACTTGTTATTTGATATTTGAAAACTGAAATTGAATTTTATTTCATTTTTATTTCATTTTTTCTATTTAATCTGTTTGGATAGACCTCTAAAAAATGCTCCCCTTTTAATAGTATAGATTATACGATGAAATTTGACATAAAAGTTCCTAAATCCTAGCATACCAATAAACACTACCAATATTTAAAATATATTCTTCGTAGAATTTGGATTAGATAGAATAGTAAGGAAATAAATATTAAATGCTAATATGTCGACATCCTTCTGTTACCAAATGAAAATAAATATTAAATGCTTATATTTAATCGTAGTATCCTAACAAAATATTTGAAATCTTATTATGGTAATAAAAAAAAACATCACAAACAATTAAATATTTCAAATAAAATGCTAAAAATATTATCTTTCTTTAAATCATTAGCATATTCCATGGATGGATTCTAAATTTTTCTTAATAATACCGAAATTCTGTTAATTACAAGATATACTAAAATTTCTCTCCAAGATTTTCTCTACTAACTCAAAACCATATTATAAATACTCTCATTAACCTAATCTAAAATCACTAAGCTCGACACGATATTCTAAAGCACACATAAACAAAATTTACAATTCCAGTGACTATTTCATTTGCCTACCAATACCTATGAAAAGAAAAACTAAACGCCAATACCATGTTACATAAACTCACCTTTGTCTGCTTCTTTTTATGTCTTCTTCCTTTTTGCCATCCCAGCTGAGGGATTTTTATTGCTTAAGATATAGAGAGGTAATTTTTTGTTTTCATTTTAGATTTGGATTAGTCAACATACTCGAAGCATACAGACTAACACAAAGCTACTTGCCAATTGTATATATATATTTTTTTTACCAACAGCAAAAGCACTCCAAATTCTGAAACTCTAAAGACAACAAAAGAAGAATACAAATCAATATAATAATTTGGCAACATACGGGAAAGGTTTCCTTCAAACCTATGTTCACTTCTCTCGCTCTCCATTTTTGCGATGTGCTTCTTGACTATATATCTCTTTCCTAGCATCAAATGTATAGTCTGATAACGAAAGTACCAACCAAACATTTTACAAGGAAAAGGATCAGTCAATTGTGGTAGAAGCTTTGACATCGCCAAAGTGAATAAGTCTTTTTTTTTTTGGTTAATGAAAAGGATCGATAATCTTTTTTGAATTTGGAAGTTGGAAGGATTCGATAATTTTTTTGCCTGACCATATGTATTTTTTTTTCTAACCAAATAAAATCCTTTCTTTTTTTTGTCGTCACATCTAATTAAAATAAAGGAACAAACTAACAAAAATAAAAAGTAAAAACGTACATGATACTATTTTTTGTTTTACATCAGTACATAATAACATTGCATTTTAAAGTGTTAGAAGAAAAGGTACATAATTACACGTTCTGATCTTTTTATCATTTTTAATTACAATAATCAATAATATTATTTCTTTTTAACTTTCTCTGTCTTTTTCCATTTTTGAAAAATTAAAAAAACTATTATTTTGTATTTGAGTGTAACTTATGATTAAATTTGCGATACTTCCACAAATATATACTAACCAAAATTATTCATTTTGTACATATAAATCTCTTACAAAGCTGAGCTTAGTAACAATACAATTTCTATTAAAATTACACATAGTTATAGTAATTTCTTATTTAATCCAGATAAAATTTTATAACAAGTACTGTTAATTTGCAAAACGATACACATACTTACAGTTCTTTTTAATTTAACATTCATAAATTCAATAATCTAACTCTTCCAACTTGGATTTTAAAGTTTTTGTTTAGCAAACTAAAATAAATAAGTACAATTAGGTTTTCCCACTAATCAAAATGTAAAGATAATTTTAATGTCGTTACCAAATTAGTCATACTTCGTATCTGAAAATGTATAATTTTTTTTTATAAATTTATGATGACAACTTTGATTGTTTGGTAGCTATTAAATAAGTTTATTCTATTGATTATACATTTTAGTATAG